GTTGTCATCGGTCGATTATAGAAGGCATTCAGTCTGGAACTGGGTGGAGACAAGCGGATAGATGAGAATGAAGAACAGGGATCAAATGATGATCGACCGGTGGACGGGGGTGCAAATGCTTGCATACCTTGAATTGCCGAGTGGGAGTAAACGGACTGAACTTGAGCTAGACACAGGGGGAGTGAGAATGCCGGGCGATAGGTGTCTGATTGTTCTCTGCTTGTGGTTGTCGTGCAGCCCAAATCCATTAGTGCTCTGTTTGTAGACCCACGCGTGCCAATCGTACCCAATCCGTCTGACAGTAGGCCTATTTTAACTGGCCCGGAACATTTGAGTTCATCCCCGGTGGAGTGTATTTCAGTATCAAAATAGTATTCGGGTTTTGGAGATCCACGCCGTTTGCGTGATCTGCGACCAGTATCCGGTCTTCCCTCGGTTAGATCGAATCCGATCTGATCTCGGGAACGTTTACGTGCTTTTCCATCCACGTGTTCGGCATAGTCCATCTCGACAGTTCGGCACAGATAGGTGGTGGACTTGGTCGGCGTATTCCCGTCCGGAATGCCATGTTTCCCGCCGTCCTCTGTGTTTGGTATCATGCCCAAACGACCAAGACGATCGTGATCGAATGAGCCGGATAGCAGACAAGAACCGGACGCGTCCATACTGGTCATCTGTTCACTTTCCGGGGATGGAGGTTCTATGTCTGTTTGTGAACCGTTTGGTGAAAGATAGTGAACTCGAAGATGTTTGCGAAGTGAACTCGGATGTGTGTAGCTCTTATCACAGCCTTTAAAACGACAATTGTACGGTTTGTCGTTCATGTGCACGTGCATGTGTTTTTTACGATCCGAACTGTTGGCAAATCGTCGATCACAACCTTCAAACTCACAAACGAATGGTTTCTCGCCTGAACGAAAGGACAGGACAAGGGACATGGAGACGGGATGGGTGAAAAAAGAACAATCAGTAGACCAGTCGATCGATTTTCTATGAATTAAGCTCAACCAAATGAAAAACAACAAAACTAAACAGTTATCTTACATAGGATTATTGAATGTCACGGGAGTGATTCCACCCCACCCCATTCCACCCCCTTAGTACTCAGCAAACTCATTCTACTTCATACTTAATGTTATTGACAGTGAAGCTGTGGAAGCAACAACGAGTATGCTTTCTATTCATTGGATAAGGAATTGAACTTCATCAATTTCCCAAACATATTCAAACTTGTATTTCGCTTATGATTCCCGTTCTCAACTCATTTTCGATCCTATTTATTTACAAACAAGCGAGATGTCCGCGTGACCATCGGATAACGGTGGGCTTAAACAAACTGGTGGCATGCTTTGCACCCTGCAGTCCGAAGTTCGAGCCCCACCACCGACCATTCGATGTTAGTGGTAGGCAGCTTAGCTATCTTCCGGTTTAGTACCACGCCTGGGCTGGCGGGGCCTTATCTGTGGTTTACCCCACTTCAAGTCCCATGGGGCTTAGGTTACCGGTTTCCACCGCTGAACAGCCAGTCCTCGTGATTATGGGTTGCCCTCCGTCTGCTACTCATCACACTTATGTTTATATTCAAAGAATTGGCCAATCAACAGTTTGAACTATTTCACCTCGGCTTAATTTGCTCTCGATTTCTTCTTGTTTTCATACATTTGGTCATTCAGCATCACTAGGTAAACTTGTATCCTCGTGTACAGATGGTATGTCATGAAACTTAAGTTGAAACAGTGTGCTTTAAATGAGGAGAGCAACTGATCAGTTTACTTGATCATTCGTGTCTGGGAGTTTGACCAGGCTTCATAGGCTAAAACAAGCTCATGTGTTCTGATTGACCAGTAATGCATACACGCACATACACACACAAAATGTGATCGTTTCGGCACCTACTGAATAGTCCAGACAATCATCCACCTCCTCGATCATCGCTGGTATTTGTACGGAACTGATTGTAAAATCAGCCTGGTACTCATTTATTCATAACTGTTCGCTAGGGTCGAAACCCACCTCCTTCTGGATAGGCCTATTTTGCGCATGGTTGACCACACCTATCCGCAGCCCCCCCCCCCCCCCCCCCCCCCCCCCCCCCCCCCCC